TAATTATAAATAACAAAAAAATATTTTATAATCTAAACTATCAAAAATTATAAAATAATGAATTTATAAGTAAATGTCATATATGCTGAGTGTTGTTACATTAATAGACATAAATATCATTAACGTAATATCTTATTAGTTAAAATACTTAAATCTAAAGGAAGACTTTTAGATCAACTGACTATCTATCTAATTGTAAAAGGCTTCTTCACATTGCCCACATACGAAGTTTACAAGTTATGCCAAAACAATTTGATTATTTTGAGTTAAAGAAAGTTGCTGACAATCTATATTGTCAAGCTTGCTTGTTAAAAAGGTAATTCAGTTCTTTTTTTCCTCACCTTGTTTTCCGGCCAAAAATTCCTTTCTTTCCCAATTTTATCTCTTGAGTTGAGAAATGTCCGATTAAAAATTATCTCATGTACTATAAGATGCGGCCTAGCATACTATTTGCTTTAACTGATATTCAAATTAAAAGTTTTATGTTTAAATTTTGATATTAATATTATTTTGTTGTTGACCAGTAAGTATTTTTTTTAGGAACAAAAAATAAAGCATATAATTTTCCTTGAGTGTGATGTTGGTAATACAAATAGTAATCTAGATTTTCTACCAAAACATCTGAATTGCATTAACGATCCATGTGTACTGCATTAATGATAAATGTGAAATTTGCGGAAAAATCAAACTTGGACTAGACTAAATGGACACAAACTCAAAGAACTAGTCGTCATTTGTGAAGCCCTTTGATCCTCATTGGTGCATAATAAATGTTCATATAAAACTTCGGGGAGGCCCGACACATTTATTATTGTCATGTCAAGTAGATTGCTTCCTTCTTAGAATTTATTATGTCGTTCATCAAAAAAGGACCGTTCACATTTATCTAGTCTTAAAATATAATTAATATATTTTTTATTATTAATTAATGTTAAAAATAAAAAAATTAATATTAAAAATAAAAAATTAATATTAATTTTATTATTAACATTATATGAATTATTTTAATTAAATATAAGTTAATTTTTACTTTTTAAATAATAATTAATATAAAAAACACTTAATATAATTAGTAAATTATAATAAATTAATTTTTTAATTATAAATAACAAAAAAATATTTTATAATCTAAACTATCATAAATTATAAAATAATGAATTTATAAGTAAATGTCATATATGTTGAGTGTTGTTACATTAATAGACATAAATATCATTAACGTAATATCTCATTAACTAAAATACCTAAATCTAGAGGAAGGTCTTCAGGTCAACTGTCATTTATCTAATTGAAAAAGGCTTCCTCACCTTCATTAATTAATTAATTATATAATAATGTATTATGTTATTTATTTATAATATTATAATTATAATACTTATACTTTACATAATAATTTTTTTATAATATCATTTAAATTATAAAATAAAAAACTCATATCAAATATAGCACATTATTAATTAATTAATTAATTAATTAAGTGTTTTTACCTATATTGACAGACGGCGGTGCGCAATAATTCTTTCTTAATTTTATGGGTTTAATTCATTTTGAACAAAAAAGAAAAAAACTTATTTGGAAAAATATCCCCCGAGTAAAAGTTAAGGTTATAGAGTTGTTTTAACTTGTTAAAGAGTGATATAAATCATATAAAAAGATGTTAAGTTTAAAGTTTTTTAGTGTTATTTAAATGTAAATAATTTTAATGGATAATATCTGTTATTATACATTTAAAAGTAGAGATTTAACTAATATATCTATAAATGCATGACAGTTTACAAGTTATATATGAATTTATATTTTTAAAAATTTTGAATTTTTTTTGGTTTCCCGCCCGGTATCCGGGGTTTCATCCCGACTACTCCAGACTCGACCAGCTGTGGCGCATCAAAATTGTGGGTGAATCTCCCAACGAAAGCTGCTGCGTACACAAGATTTCAAACTCGAGATTTTACTTAAACTAGAACAAACCGCTTGCCACTTGATCTAACCCCTCGTTGGTTTTAAAAATTTTGAATTATATAATGAAATGTAACATTTTCTTTATTCATGCTACTTATATGGCAACATAAATTTTTTTTTAAATTTTTATGGCAATAAAAAAGTTAAATATCAATTTTAATTTCTAAACTTTTAATTTTGAATATTTTTAGTTTTCAATTATTTTTTGTATTTTTTTGGTATTTAAACTATAAAAAATATATATTTTTAGTTATTCTATCAATTAATCCATTAAATTTATTTATTTATGTACATTTTTAATCTCTAAATTCAAGGATTATAAATGTGTATATATATATATTAAAAAATTTTAAAAAATTTAAAATTTAAAATTTAGAACTAAAATTTACACTTACCCCTAAAAAAATCTGCGGAACTTATCTTTTGGATGGTGGATCTCTGGTCCCGGTATGTGGTGATAGATAAGTGACGACTACCTCCATCCTTATCAGGCGTTTGGGAGTTTTCATGATCAGTAATAATTCGTCCAGGATGATGAGTCCATCCATTGGCGATGTGGACCAGAACCATCGGTCCCAACTCCGCCTTGGACAATTCAGTAAATTTCCCTATTTCCCATAAATGCTGTAATATTCTTTGGATGGTTTCAGGAATTTCCAAAATGTTTTTTTTTTTAAAAAAAAAATTAAATTACATTTTAATTAATTTAAAATTACACTAAATCACATTTTATAAAAAGAAAATTTTCTTGACCTCTATTGCTTTATTTATAAAAATTAAATTTAAAACTTTAATTAAAAAAAATTAAAATTTTATCAATCAAATTAATAACTCGTTCATAATTTCCAATATGGCTTGCTGTTTGAAAATGGAACATGGAAATGACGTCATAATCAAGTGTCTTCTTTGATCCCAAATAATATCATTGGTTCCAATTTTACAACCTTAATCAATGTTTATGTTTTTATTTTTATTTTTATTTTTATTGTTAATTTTAAGTCCAAATCTACTAATTCCTCAATGCTGTCACAACCAACAAAGGAGGCTGCAGTGACAGTCTGTCAACTAGCCTCTGTTGTTAAAAAAATTTTTAAAAAACATTTTTTTATTAACAAGTATAATTTAAAATAAAAAATAAAAAATTAGAACATGTTAATATTGTAAGTTAAATTTTAATTATTATTAAAATATTAAATATATTTATCAAGTGATTCGTGAAGTTTAGTGTAAATTCCTTTTTTTTAACAACTTCAAAAATATCAACAATGTAAATTCTTACAATTTTCTCTAGGTATTCTAATGGTGGAACATGTTCAACGCATGATGATCTATATATTTACTTTATAGCATGTATGTGGAGAAGCAGTGGAGCAGACAATAAACGTTGGTTTTTTCTCTCCTTGGTTATCCATGTGCCTGTGTTGTTGATGAGTACAGAATGGTTTCCAACAAAGGCGAGACAACAATTGATATCGAGTTTGGTAGCTTTTGTTTGAGGTGTATCTTTAGTCGTCGGCATGTACGTGTGGAGACTGTTAAACTCCTGATTTTACAGGATTAGAGTATCTCTTATATTTATATTTGCAAGTTTGTTTAATTCAATGGTTAAAATTTATTGTTATTTGGTTAATATTTTTTCTTTTGATTAATTTTAATAGTTTTAATTTGAATTTTTAAAATTTTTAAATATAAATTTTAAATAAAAATTTAATATATTATATAAATAATAATTTAAATTTTTATCAAATAAAAATATTTAACAAGAACTCTATATAAAAAAATTTAATCAATTGTTATTCATATAAATT